ATCGTAAAATACCAGCAAACGAAAAAGAATTAAAATGGAAACACAAAATTAAATGAAAAAGAAATCATAAAACTAAAAAAATCCAAACTTTATAGTACCGGTTGGTCTTACCAACTGGTACTAAAGAGCTCCAGGCCCCCGGAGCTGGCTCGTGCCACGTGGTTGCCCTTTAGCACCGGTTCGTGTTGAACCGGTACTAAAGGGGGGGGGCTTTAGTGCCCACACTTTAGTGCCGGTTATGGAACCGGCACTAAAAGGCCTTACGAACCGGTGCTATTGTCCGGTTCTGCACTAGTGGACTTAGCCACCCCTCTAGAAGCCGTGGCGAAGCGCCCAAACATTGTGCCTCGCTAGGCGCCCATGGCAGACCACCTCGGGTTGTCCTCTTCCAGCAGGTGCATGAGTGCAAGGACGTCTCAATGCTCAGATCTAAATTGGAGAATCCGGGAAATACATTAGTATTAGGACGCATATTGTTGTACTGTACTTTGTATCCCTATACAAACTTGCTCCATAAAAGGGAAATTGATGATTGCCCAACATATCATAAAACAAATACCAGACCAAATCATATATGACCATAGTAGCAACTCATATATCATTAAGGCCAGACAGGTAAACTTTTCAATGATTATAAATTCTAGCCATGCATGAGCTATAAAAAAGAAGCAAGAAAGCAAAAAATGTAGTTAATATATGTGTTATGTAAGCATTCTAGCGCAGAACCTACAAACCCAGTGGTCGACATTAAACCTGGATCCGTATTACCAAAGCACCCTACAACATCATGTGTGGCAAATTAATAATGTGATCAAATTGTATAATGTATCATCTTTTTTGTTTCAAAAAAATATGGGTGCATCAAGCATTGAAGAGCTAATAAGCTTGGAGATGGAAACATGCAAGTTTTACCTTTGAAGGGGAGGAATCACTTGAGGCAGTCTGATCATACACAAAATCCTTTTCCTTGTTTTTATCTTCCTCAACGTGCTTGGTCAAACTGTGTAGTTTATCTTTTATTAAGTCGCTTTCACAAACTCTCAAATGCCATTTCCCATGAAGAAACCGCTAACAACTTTCTTTGAGAGGTCTTCAACTCAGATAAATTTGCATCGTCTATTTAAATCATTGTATCATCTTGTAAGTAAACCAGAACAAATGGCGGACTCAATGGCAGCATCACTCGATTTAGCATAGCCCTGAATGCAAATATTAGAGAAATAAGCCACAAGTGGGGTATCAAGTTTATCAAAAATAGCACACATAGATTCTGCCATATAATATGAAATGCAAAAAGATTCCTACAACAATGGAAGTGGATTGAACAAAAATAACCTGGAAGCATAGAATTCAGCGTGTATATGATGTAGTATTTGTCAAATCCTAAGTAGCCTTGAACAAATTTTTTGTAGTTGAGCCTAGAACAATTTTATAGTTGAGAGATCTTTAAAGAACTAACACGTCCATATAGTTGAGAAAATAAAAATCAAATATCAACAATGCAAGTATATGGACTGAATACTTGCTCCAATTAATATATTCATTCAGACTTGTCACCAAAGTCCAGACACATGACATATCTCACCTAACCAATGACCAGTTCAGTTTTGTATCAGAAATGGGGTACAACTTATGACTCCTATTAGTCCATACATTTGTAAAGAAGGGCATTACTTTGCCACAAACCACAAAAAACACAATCCATGATATGGTTGATTACTTGACCATCTCCTACTTCCTGGAAAACAGGTTCCTGACCGTGACACCGCTTGGAGCCTTTTGATAATGTGACAACTTTTGTCAAGGACGAACAATCAACTGGGAGATAAAACTAACATAGTGACATGAAGATCAGAGACAGCAGACACATACATAAACATGTATAACTGTGAGCAAATTGATGATTGAGAGGAAGAGTGCATAAATAGAAGACACACTGTTTCACTAAGTTGTGTTAAACTATAAGGCAATATATTAAGTGCCATGCATGAGAAAAAAAGAAGCAGCATAGGCAATTGTAAACATAAATAACTCTTTGCTAAAATCATGGTATAGATGATGTTGAGTGGTTGAGGTGCTCATGGCCCAACTAAAAATGATGGTAGCCAAAATAGATTATAGAAAGAATATATGCGGCTACACATCAATTATATTTGATGTTGAGTTGTTGAGGTGCTCACTGCCCAACTAAAAATGATGTTGTGAGCTGGGGCTTGGACCATCAATGTGGTTACGGTGATGTTGTCCATGGCGCTGCCATGAAGTACCTGGTCAATAAAATAAAAAGAACCGGTTACTTGGATTAGGAATTTAGGATAGAAACATGAGCACAAGAAACAAAAATAGAACTTGATAAATATATGATTGTAATTTCAGAACCATCATCATCCCTAGAAGTAGAAAAGGTCGGAGAGGTCGCCTATGTATAGAAATTTGGCAAGATAAAGGTTTCATGCCTAAATAAGCATCACCTAATCCTTGATATTTCTAAAAAAACTGCATCTTACATTAATTAAACATCACAGTAAAGCAAAAGGTCACATATGACACAATTTGATGTATGGAAAAATGGAAATCATGTAAGAATCACTACTTCATAGCAGAAAGTGGTGGCATCACAGGTTCAAAAAGAGCACATTTTCTTAGCCCAAATGAATCCACTGGTGGGATAGGAAGAAACCAGAGGAGCATTGCATCTAGAAGACAGTGCTAACAACACAGTCATCACAGGCGCAGCCGCTCTTCTGACACATACTTCATCTATGCCAGTAGGCCCAACCACTAAAAAGACACTCATTAGCCCACCCTGACAATTTATCGAGCACCTACCATGCATTACTTCATGTTGAACTAGGAGGTGGCGCGTCAGTGGCAAGAACCGGGGCTGCAAGCTATTTGGTGGGTTGGCCAGAGATCTCGTCCAGCTCCACAACGATGGACACCTACAAGGCAAGACCATGAGAGAGAGAGAGAGAGTCAGAGAGAGAGAGAGACTTACCCCCCGGTTCCATGGATGAAGCGTGCGAGCCGGGATGAAAGGGCAAAAGAGAAGACCACCAATCTCACCCTTTCTCGATCACCGTTGAAATCGTGTCCTCGGAGGTGACCTTCTCGATGTCCAGCAAAGGTTGTGCCTCACAACCATCGCGGCTGACCAGAACCACTCAACTTTGTTCTCTCTCCCTCTCTCTCGGCTGGGGAGGCGGAAGAGCATGTGCACAACTGGCTGCCAGCTGAGAAGCCGTTGAACGACCAGTCCAGGGAAGGAGACGGGGGGCAGCCAGAGGGAGACGGGGTGGGCAGGGGTGGCGGCGAGAGAGAGAGAGATGGGACGAGTGAGGGTGGCGGCGTGAGAGTGAAGGGAAGGGGCACGACGGGTATAGTGGCTAGGGTTTCACCCAATCGGGCACTCTCTCCACCGTACGCGCAGCCCAGCCATCCACGGGACGCCACGCAAGCGCCCTAACGTGAAATCTCGGAACTGCCCTCGGCGGCCACTAAAAATTACGGCGCGGTGGCATGACCTCCGCGCTAATGTATAGCAGCACCGGCCACACCCACTCTCAGAGTCAATGACAGTAGCGGCCCACAGAATAAAGATCCCACCTGTCAGCCAGATACGACATAAATTCAAAAGTACTCCCTCCATTCCTTGATATAAGGTGTATAGATTTTTGAGAAAAAATCCAAAATATAAGGTGTATTGTGCTGCACCATTCGCTTGGATAATTTTTTTAGGGATTTGATTACATTTCCTTATATTAGTCAAGCCCCTCTATTTTCTCATGTCAATTAGTCAGGTGTAATCCCGCCCAAAACTTGAAATTTTTTCTCGTTCTTTAATTTCCGTGCCAAAAACTATACACCCTATATTGAGGAGCGGAGGGAGTAAGAAATAAGAAGCACTATTCATTGATTGCCACATCGAAGTTGATCCGACGGCCAGGATTGCTCCACAATCAGGGCGAATGCAGTCTCGGCCGTCCAGTCTCCTTCCTCCTAAGCCGATCTCGGCCGTCCGTTTATCTCACAGCATCTGGTAAAAACCAGCCCGAAGAAAACCAAAGTCGCCAGTCCTCTCTGTCCCTTCTACTGCTCCCGCCGCCACCCTTCTCCCTTGCGTGTCTTCCCCTACCGATCCCCTCCGCTGACGCTGCCACGAGCTCCCGCCGTCGAGCTCCACCTCCTCCATTCCCCGCCCCGGGCTCTGCCTCCCACCCCCCTAGCGCCACCACCTCCAATCCCTAGCGCCAGCGGCGGCCGTTCTTCCGGCGACATCATTGGACAGCGGCGAGAATGAATAGACAGATAGAGGTAACAAATTGATCATTCCTCTGGCCAAACTTCCATCTTACTCCAAGCCCACCTCCAGAATGGCAGAGCAATGCAAGATTTCTGCTGCCATGGTATATGAGGAAAGGTCATATGCGCGGTCATACGTGCTCAAGGTAGATGGATACTCCAGAGCCAAGGCGTTTCTCGAGACCGGCAAGTGCCTTGCCTCTGCCCCTTTCAGTGTTGGAGGGAACGACTGGACCGTGGAATGTTACCCAAACGGTGACAATAGGATTCATGCCCATTACATATCCCTTTTTCTACGTCTTGAATCTGCTGATGCTGGAGATGTGAAGGCGAAATTCACGCTCAGTCTACTTGACAAGAATGGACAACCCGTGCCTTCATACAGCCGTGCCTCCCCTGTACTAACCTTCTAAAAGAAAGATTCATGCTTGGGCTACCCTGATTTCTTCAAGAAGGCTGATCTGGAGGCATCGGCACATCTAAGAGACGACTGTCTCACCATCAGGTGCGATGTCACCGTCATCCACGGGGAAGAAACAAGGATTCCTCCAAGCGACCTGCACCAGCACCTCGGTGACCTCCTCGAGAATAAGGATGCAACAGACCTAATATTTCAAGTCGGTGCACATAGTTTCTCAGCCCACAGGTGCGTCCTCGCTGCTCGGTCATCCATCTTCAAGGCGGAGCTCCTTGGCGCTATGAAGGAGAGTTCTGCAGCTAATCCTATTGAAATCTATGACGTGGAAGCTGATGTTTTCAAGTCCTTGCTTCACTTCATATACACCGACTCCGTTCCTCCAGTGTTTGGTGTGGTCATGGCCAGCCATCTACTTGTTGCGGCTGACAGGTACAACATCGGCAGGCTGAAGATGATATGCGAGGAGAAATTGTGCACTCACATCGATTCCAACATGGTGGCCACCAGTTTGGCTTTAGCAGAGCAGCATGGTTTCCATCGTCTCAAAGAGGCTTGTTTGCAATTCCTTGCTTCTCCTTCCAATTTCAAAGCTATGATGGCAAGCGACGGTTTTGAGCATCTGACATCCAGCTGCCCACATGTTCTCAAGGAGCTTGTAGCTAGAATCCTTCCCGCTGAATGGGGGGTGGCAAAGGATGTTGTCATGACAATGTGGAAGTAGTGCCTACAGACCAATTTATTATCATATATATGTCATCCGTGTTTAGTACTTATGGTTATGCTACTAAGCTGTTTATGCATGAATGTTGTGGAACAAAAATGCTGCTATCGATCACTTTTTTCTTGCTAGAGAGTCTTGTTTTATAAAATCGATCACTTTTTATCGATCACTTCTGCTTCGGTAGACCCCCCTTAAACACATTAACGGTTGAGATTACTCCATACCCCTTCATAATAAAGGGCATGATGGTCATTCTAAAAGTACATCATCTTTGATTTTTTTTGAGTAATTACCGAGTACGGATACGGTGCACAACTGGGCTGGCCGGCCACTTGCCATTTGAGCGCGCGGGAGGTAAAAGTTGCTGGAAAAATTAAGAAAACTAGCACGAGGGGTCGAACTAAAAACCTCCCCCTCCAGTTCAGGGGAGCTAGCCAGACTACGCCACCGCTACTGAAAAAAAATTCACGCAATTCACTATTATTTGCTCCCTGTAGTACTTTGTACTACTCAAGTTTCTTTTTCCTGAGAATCTTTGTACTACTCAAGTTGGTCAAGGGTTCTGTGTGTGTATATTTATTTTGTGTCGAGGAACATAGTAATTACCACGTGGATGCATGTGCAAATCGCAAATCGATTTGTGCAAGCTATACTTGTACACGCGTGTGCGCGCATGTCATTTCTGCTCATTTCTTCGTGATAGATTCATGCATGTGGTCTAGTGTATGTGTATGTGTCTCCAAACAGCCATTGTATCATATATGTATGTTCCATTTTTTATATTTTTGTTCCCAAATTAAAAAAATGATTGCTTTCTAAAAGTTGATAATTTTTTAAAAAAGTACGTAGTATGCAATTTGTCTTCAACATTAATTATTGGAAATTTGTTAACAATTTTGAAAAATGTTCAATTTTATAAAATTCTCATACACCATTTAAAACTTCAAAATTATTGACAAAATTTCAGGAAGTGGTTACTATATGAGAAAATATTCATGTTAATTGAAATGACAAAAACTGCAAATAAGTAAAGCATTCAAATTAGGAAAAACTACATGCTTAGAGATCCATCCGTCTGGCCTAGTCTAGCACACTCCTCTCAACTGGTATTTTTATTTTTGGACCATGGATGAATGACCCCAACTTCTGGCAGCAGCTTGACACGAACATATGAGGCATCCGAGCCAGGTTTATACGACTTGCGCCACTATTTGCATGCTGGCATACGTCCGACAAGATAACGGACCCTTTTCACCGAGAAAACTCCAGAAAATACAAAATTTGTCAGGAATCCAAACAACTTGGCATAATGCCTTGAATTGGTCACATAAGTTGGTGAAAAAAATTCACATGTTTTAAAAAAGGGTTCACGGATTTTTTTTAAAAAGATGAGGATTCGAAAAAAGTTCACAGATTTGGAAAATATTTCATAAATTTAATAAAAGTTCATGGTTTTTAAAAAAGGAAAGAAAAATAAAAAAAAAGTAGAAAAAATCAGATGAAAACTCGGCCAAAAAATATATGGAAAACCACTGCATATTATAACTAAGATAGCTGCCATACCTATCAATCCCACAACCACTAACGTGGTCTGTTGGTTACCTTGTTCTACAGTGTAACGGGGGGTCTCTAGTTCGAACCTTGCTAGTTGCATTTATGTTTACATATGAAAAAAAAAGTGAAACAAAGTGAAGAGAAGAAAAAAGATAAACATACTAGTATAGATACCTACGGACGACTCATAATATATACTTAAGTGTGAAAACTCCATATTACCCTTTATATGGTTTGTACCGAAGCGGAACTCTTAATGGTTATGCAACTTCTGGTATGGTTGGATGGATGTTTCAGAACAAAGAATATGGATCGGTGAGAGTAGTATCATTCATTCAGTATATATGTTCAAGCGAGTAGAATGGTACTTATCAATCATTGAATGGAAAGGAATTTGTGTCCTTTCTGCAGCAGGTAAGTTACTTGATGTAGTTGATATCGACATAAATCGGATAAATTAGTTTCTTAGAATAATTGTTCCTCTTGTGCTTCAGATTCTTGAAGCTTTGCATAATGGAGAGATTCCATCAACGGGATATGATCTTGTTGAAATTTTGAAAAAGGCTATTCTTGAACGCTGTTTAAAGGTGTATAAGGAAAAACTGGAGGACTTAGGTCCACCTGTATTGGTAGAGAAACTGCAGCAAATTCATGAGGTGGCAAATGTTCAGTACTTAATAAGCCTCCAGCAAATAGAATCAGTCACCTCTGGTATGTCCTTAATACTCCATTAGCAGCACTCATGTCTACTTCTGCACTGAAAAACTGAATGTGGAGTATAGATGCTGTCTATGTGGACCTTGGTAGGAGTATCTTTTTTCTTTCAGAAAGGGGATTGCCCCGGCCTTTGCATCACAGGATGCGCAGAGCAAATAAGGACCTTGGTATCTTGTGTTGTAATTCAGTTTAAAGCATGCACTAAGCAAAAAACAAAAACATCTGCATGCAATCCTCAAGCATTGAAGAATATCTTCTGTTCGCTATAGTTGTGACGGGGCTGTGGTTATCATTCCCTCTGAATATTGCTGGTAGTGCTGCTGTGTACAACTGTACTTGTCATCCAGCTGAGTGTTGTTTGGATTCAGTTTTCCGAATGTCGGTTTTAAAGAGGTTGTAGGGGAAAACAGGACTGTCAGTTTTCTGATGAGCAAAACTGTTGTACTAGTTTGTAGTCTGCTAATTAAATAAATTAACCATGTGCTTGTGGTGTGGTTGTCAGAAGCTTAGTTCAGGTCAGTACGTTCAGCTGGATTATAGTACTGGTCTAGTATCGTGGGCACGGGTGATACCGAATAGGATTAGTAGTAGGGGTAGAGTTATTCACCGAGTACGTATCTGGTTAGTATTCCATGCCGAGTAGGATTAGGAGTACTATACGTAGTGGAATTAGTCACGGAGTCGTATTTGCTGTAGGGTAGCTTAGCTTATATATATACATACACACCAGGGGGGTGTACGACATCTCGTGAGTTTAGTGTTTTACGCGCGTGCATACGTACGTTGTGTTCCTGCCGGCCGCAAGAATCAATAAGTCCCTTCTCTTGTGCACGTGCTTGTGATCTCTATCCGCATGCCTAAGCTGATCTTCCGTCTTGCTCCCAGAATGGCAGAGCATTGCAAGATCTCTGTTGCCATGGTAGCTGAATCTGAGGAAAGGCCATATGCGCGATCATACGTGTTCAAGGTGGATGGATACTCAAGAGCCAAGGCGCTACTCAAGAACGGCGAGTACCTAACCTCTGAACCTTTCAGTGTTGGAGGCCACGACTGGGTCATGACCTATTACCCAAACGGCAGCAAGATTTGTCCGGACGACATATCACTTTTTCTACATCTTCACCCCGCCGGTGCCGAAGATGTGAAGGCGAAATTCACGTTCAGTCTACTTGACGAGAACGGAGAACCGGTGCCTTCATACACCCGTGCCCACGACGATATACATACATTCTCAAGGAAAGCTCCAAATTGGGGCTACCATAACCTAATGAAGAAGGCTAAGCTGGAAAGATCGGGGCATCTGACAAACGACTGTCTCACCATCGGATGCCATGTCACCGTCGTGCAGGAGATCCTCGGCGAAGAAGAAACAAGGGCTTCTCCAGCAAGCGACTTGCACCGGCATCTTGGTGATCTCCTCGAGAGCAAAGATGCAGCAGACCTGACATTTCAAGTAGGCGGAGAGATATTCCATGCTCATAGGTGTATCCTAGCCACTCGGTCATCTGTCTTCAAGGCGGAGCTCCTCGGCGGCATGGAGGAGAGTTCTGGTAGTCTCATTGAAATTCGTGACATGGAACCTGATGTGTTCGAGGCCTTGCTCCATTTCATATACACCGAAAAAGTTTCTCCCGTGATTGATGTGGTGATGGCCAGCCATCTACTCGTAGCAGCGGATAGGTACAACATTGGTAGCCTGAAGCAGATATGCGAGGATAAATTGTGTTGTCATATTGATTCAAACATGGTGGCAACTAGTTTAGCTATAGCTGAGCAACATGGTTTCCATGGTCTCAAAGAAGCTTGCTTACGGTTCCTTGCTTCTCCATCCAATTTGGAGGCGATGATGGCAAGCAACGGTTATGAGCATCTCAAGTCCAGTTGTCCGTCTGTTCTCAAGGAGCTCATAGCTAGAATACTCCCGGCTAAATGGAACGTGGCAAAGGATATTATCATGGAACTTTAGTAGTAAAATGCGTCTGCTGCCACTATCGTGTATTGTCATCCAAATTTTTAGGTAGTAATAATGGTTATACTACTTTTCCTTGTATGGTTGCATCATTGCATGTATGTATCAAAGCAAAAGTGTTAGCATCAGTCATTCAATCTAATATATGTTCAGGCGAGTGTAATAGTAATTGTTTCTCTTGTAAGAGAAAAGAAAGCATAATTTGATTATTCCTTGTTTGCCCATCAACCTACCAAGGCTGTCCATCCACCTTGCTTTGTGTATTAGTTTGGTTATTTGAGAAGTTACTTCATGGGTACATACTACATTGTCACGTTCAGCTGGCTGTAGAATTAGTGTCATTCATGTTCCAAGCCTCGCATAAATGGAAGCTTCATTACCCACTGCTTCTATACCAACTAAGAATATATGCAACTATGTTATTACGAATCAGATAAAATTGGTAAAATAACAGAAAGAACAGAAAAAAATATATGTCATGACTGATTGCCAAACACAATATAAGCCAAATCGACTCCCTTGTAACCTCTAGGCCGATCCTACCAAGAGATTGTCCACACACAATCGCAACTGCACAACGATGGGGTATAGACAAGGCTAGTCCTCAAGTGACACTTGAAATGAGAAACCTGAGTTGCATCATCTTCGTCGCATTCTAGTAATGATGCCAAGTCTTGGCTTTCATCTAGGCAACATCCATGTCAAGGACCACCACAAAATCATGTTTTGATTCACGACACTGGCCTTGTGATTGCAGATCGCCTAGATCATGCCGACCGTAGGAAGACATCTAAGTGAACACCAAAAGGGACTTGTCGAAGGGCCCGAATCGCCTGCCACACGCGACGTGTCCAATGCGGCACATACATGTGGAGACAACCTGCTGGTATTGCTATGTACCAAAGTAACTGGACCGCCACGATCTTCAACCACTAAAGAATCCTTGTGGGATAGCCGCCCCCACACTGCGGATGTGCCGCACCACATAGATTGGTTGCTCAACGCCTAGCATCCCCGCGCCTCCACCTCACATTGGCCAAGAAATCCATATAGCAACCCTAATCACCGAGACGCTAAGGAATTGGGTGTCATACCAGTTTTTTTTTCGAGAATGATGTCATACCAGTTTTTCTCTTCGGATTCATCGCGATCACTTTCTAACCAAAAGGTGCTCATTGAAGGGCCTCAGGAGAGACACGCCATATTGCTCACCACACGTGACATGCCCGATGCGGCACGTACATGCGGAGAAAACCTGCTGGTAGTGCCACATACCGAAGTAACTGAACCACCACAATCTTCAACCGCTGAGAATCCTTAAGGGATAGCCGCCCCACACTCCGGATGCGCCGAACCACACAGATTGGTTGCCCAATGCCTGGCATCCCCATGCCTCCACCTCATATTAGCCAAGAAAGCCGAATAGCAACCCTAATCACCGAGACACTAAGGAATTTGGTATCATACCGGTTTTTCTCTCTTTGGGAAGTTGATTATATTTGTTCAGAAATAAAGCAGGTTGCACATAGTTTCTAGTGGCGCACAAACCAACCTAGCTAGTTAATTGCTGGTTCTTTGTTGTAAAATTTGTCTATAACAAAACCACTTGATATTCGGTTTCAGAACACAACACAACAATCAAATATTAAAACTATAGTAGAAACAACTGCAGAATACACACTATCTAGATTAAGATATGATAATAGGTTCCATATCAGATTTTTGCTTATCGGCGCTAACATATAGTTCAAGGTGAAGCACACGGTATGCATGCACACGCGGATGCATCATCTACTTAACAAGGCCTAGGAACTTTCTGATGGGGAAGTCGAGCGGGCCCATGACGGCCTGCCACCCGACCATGGTCGGGTTCATCTCATCCCAAAAGAAGAACACGTGGGGTTCGTCGCACACGTCGTAGAGCGGATCCAACGTCTCCGGGTCTACCTGCCCGCAGTACCCCTTGGGGTCCGTGCTCTCGCAACACGGCACAAGCTTCTCCCTAAAGAGATTGGCGATGTCAACGCTCCCGTCGTCCCGAAGGACCATGCTGAAGGCGGCGTTCAGGTCTACCACCAGCACGTCCTCCATGTCGGCCAGCTTCTTGGCAAGGTGGTGGTTGTGGAGTGTGGCGGCCAGGTTGCGCCGCTCGTTGCAGCGGGTGTGGTTGTACGCCCTGGTCTGCGACGGCGCACAGCCGAAAGGGAAGAGGTTGTTGACGAGCACCTTCTGCATGCCGATGTCCTTTAGGCGCCGCACATTCGCCGCGATCTCCTCGGCCACATTCTTGGCGAAATCGTCCACCTCGGCGAAGCTTTTGGTGTCGGCGGGGAGGCGGGCGTAGTCGTTGCCGGAGACGGCGACGAGCGCGACGGATTTTGATGCGAGGCGCTCTTGGTGGATGTCTCCGTCCTTGACGAGCTTGTGGAAGGTGTGGATCTGCCTGGCGAGCGTGTGGGTGTGCGGCACGTCATACACACCGGAGCCGCCGGCAGCGAAGTTCAAGCCGGCCGGGCCGACCTTGCGCGTGAGGCTGTGCGCCGGAGGGGATTTCATCTGCCCTAACATGGAGGCTGCAACACGTACGTGGTAAAAAACACGTGGAGATGATAACACGGCAATGCAAAAGAGAGATCGAGAATTCGAGGTTGAGGAAGGACGCACCGATGAAGTCGGATTCAACCATGCTGTTGGAGAAGCGGCCGTTGGCCCTGTATGGAGGGCGCCACTGGCGATTGAGCTCGGATAATGGGTTCATCTTGACGAGGTTGCCGTTGTCGGCGAAGGAGTCGCCGAAGACGTAGAAGCTGTACCCGTTGTAGTCGTCGGAGTGATGGTGTTGGTGCCCGTCGTTGCCGCTGTGCCCGTTATGGTCGTGGTGGCGCCCCTTCCCGAGCCCCTGTGGCTGCGGCCGGGACGACGCCACGGGAGAAACTGCACGCCCGCAGATGGATCAATTTAGGCGGCAAAACGAAACATGAACAGCGACCAATTACAACGTGTAGAAATTAAGAAACAAGTGTGTGCTGCTGACGAACAATCCGGCTAAGCCGATAAGCATCTAGTCAGGGCAGGACGCGCGCACGAACCATTGAGATGGAGAAGTAGGAGGAGGGCGCAGGCGATCGCCGGGAGATTCATCCCGCTCGATCGGTCGAACAGTGGAGGAGCAGCGAGGGGAGATGCGTACGTGCAGAGGATCACCTGAGTTTATTTATTTTATATAGCGAAAGAAAATCTTGGATCCATGCGATTTGCAAGTTGTTACGCCGGACGCCGCCAAATCTTCCCCGGAACTACCGGCGCCGATCTAGTATATCTGTGTGGCCGGCGCCCCTCCTTTCTCCGACAAAAGACTTGAACTGCGTTCCGGCTAAAACGTGAGCGTAAGTGACGCTGGTAATTTTGAAAAAAGTGGTTTTTTTATAACTAACGAACATTTTTTAATTCCGAATATTTTTTGAAATCCTTAAACATTTTTAAGCATGTTTTTTTAACATTCCTTAAAATTATGATCTTTTTAAAACACGAGCTCTTAAATAAATGTGGACATTTTTAAAAAAAATTCTGCATTTTTTAGAAAAATCGAACATTGTTTGAAAATAAAAATAAAAAGGAAAAAACCAAAAAGAACACCAATAAAGGAAAAAAAAGAACAAAAACCCAACCCATCAGTGTGCCTCCATGTGCATTTGGTCGATATTTTGACGCAGAGATCGTCAAATAAGATATTCTGACCTTGATAGCGGAAGAGTATGTGTGGCTCACTCGTTTGTGTATGTAATGTGAACCCGAGAGCTCGCACAACCAGTGGCGCCATGGCAAAAGTGTTCTACCATACCCTTGTGCCTCATAGACGAGCTTAAGCCATATACACTGGTTGAAAGTATGTCCTCTCTTATGTACTCTATGTCATATTCCAACAAAAAGAGTATTCTAGATCATATAGAAGAGGCTATGAAACACATAGAAAATTATGAATGTGCCACTAGCCAGCTCCAATGTCAAAGGTTGCCAATAGTTTTGTCGAAATTGTGTACAAGCCAAAAACTGTTGAAACGTTTGATCAAAGCCACTGCAACACGTTAGAGTAGGATTAAACCATATACGACTTGCCCCTTACTCCAAGTCTCTCTCATATTGTACTTTATATATACCTTACACAAGGGTCAGACCAATAAAACGAATATTGTAGATTTTATATTTTCTATACAATATGGATGAAGCTTAGTTTAGGTCATTACATTCAGCTGGAATATAGTAGTACAGTCATTGGTCTTCCAAAATGCTCCCCTTGCCGGTTGCTCTGACCGCCCCAAACGGTCAAGACGCACCTGAATTTCGTTACTTGGCTCCCCGCAAACCACATCTGTGCTTTCTGTTCGAGTACGTACATGCACATATTTTTTTCTCTGGTCGTGGTGGAGCGACCACGGATCTGGCTAGTTACAGTAGTTGTTTTTTTTTTCTTTTCTTGAAGCGTACAGTGGTTAGTTACTTGTTGCAGACATAGGCACAACCTGGCTTCCATCGTAAAAAAAGAGGCACAAACTTGCACGGAACCGGAACGTGCATGTGTACACCAGTATTCCATACCGAGTAGGATTAGTAGTAATAGTATAGTTAGTCGCCGAGTAGTATTTGCTCTAGGTAGCTACCTTAGGCCTTTATATACATGTATATACACCAGCACTTGCGCTAGTTGAGTTATTAAAGAGTCAATCAATAAAGCAAAAGAAACACCAATCGATCATTCGAGTGTTTCGCGTGCGTTCCTTGTGTTCTGCCCGGCGGCAAGAATCAATCAAGTCCCGACTGTTGTGCACGTGCCTGTGATCTCTATCCACATGCATAAGCTTGTCTTCCATCTTGCTCCAAGAATGGCGAAGCATTGCAAGATTTCTGTTGCCATGGTAGCTGATGAAGAATCTGTGCAGAGGTCATATACACGGTCATGCATTCTCAAGGTTGATGGATACTCAAGAGCAAAGGCGCTACTCAAGAACGACGAGTGCCTGACTTCTGCACCTTTCAGTGTTGGAGGCCACGACTGGGCCGTGACCTACTACCCAAACGGTAGCGAGCTTTGTCCTGATTACATATCTATTTTTCTACATCTTCGATCCGTCCGTGCCAAAGATGTGAAGGCGAATTTCACGTTCAGTCTACTAGACGAGAACGGAGAACTGGTGCCTTCATACACCCGTAACCATGGTACACATATATTCTCAAGGAAAGCTCCAAACTGGGGCAACCATAACCTGATGAAGAAAGCTAAGCTGGAATGATCGGAGCATCTCAGAGATGATTGTCTGACCATAAGATGTGATGTCACCGTCATGAAGGAGATCCTCGGCGAAGAAGAAACAAGGGCTTCCCCAGACGACTTGCACATGCATCTCGGTGATCTCCTCGAGAGCAAAGATGCAGCAGACCTAACATTTCAAGTAGGTGGGGAGATGTTCCCCGCTCATGGGTGTGTCCTCGCCGCTCGGTCATCTGTCTTCAAGGCGAAGCTCCTCGGCGCCATGGGGGAGAGTTCCAGTAGTGCTATCAAAATATATGACATGGAACCTGGCGTGTTCAAGGCCTTGCTCCATTTCATATACACTGAGAAAGTTTCTCCTGTGATTGATGTGGCAATAGCCAGTCATCTACTCGTAGCGGCTGATAGATACAACATCGGCAGGCTGAAGCAGATCTGTGAGGAGAAATTGTGTTCTCATATTGATTCAAACATGGTAGCAACGAGTTTGGATATAGCTGAGCAGCATGGTTTCCCTCGTCTCAAAGAAGCTTGTTTACGGTTCCTTGCTTCGCCGCCCAATTTGGAGGCGATGATGACAAGCAACGGTTATGAGCATCTCAAGTCCAGCTGCCCGTCTGTTCTCAAGGAGATCATAGCTCAAATACTCCCGGCTGAATGGAACGCAGCAAAGGATATTATCATGTCAATTTAGTGCTAGTACGTTTTGTACTGTTATCATGATTGTGGTCATCCGAAATTTTAGTACTAATGTTTATGCTACTTCTCCATGTATGGTTGCATCGTTATTGCATGTATGTTTCAGAGCAAAAATGCTAGTATCAATCATCCAATATGTTCATGCAAGTAGAATGGCATATATTTTTTCTTGCCGGAGAAAAGAGACTATTATTGGGTTATCCGATGTTTGCCCATGAACCTGGCATGGCTGCCCATCCACCTTGCTTTGTGTATTAGTTTGATTATACATACATGGTTACGTTCAGCTGGATATTGAATTAGTATCATTTGTGTTCCAAGTTTTGAATATATGGTCCAGACGCTTCTGGATTTTTCTTAAAGAAAAATGGAAGCGTGCCTCGGGTGAGACATGTCGGACCGCCCGCCAACACACACGACGTACCCGACGCAGCATGTACATGTGGAAATAACCAGTCGTCGTTGCCACATACCGAAGTAACTGAACTGACACGATCTTCAATCACCACGGAATCCTTACACGCTAGCCGCCCCACTCTCCTGGTGCGCAACGCCACATTAATTAGATCAGTAGCCCAACGCCTTAGCATCGCCAAGCATCCGCCAGGAAAGCCAAATAGCAACCCTGACCACCGAGACGCTAAGGAATGAGCTTTGCTACACTTACGAAAGTTTTTAACGAAGAGTTACGTAAAGAGTGACGTGGCTTTATAGCACACCCCCACACCCTGAAAATCAGAGGGGGGGGGGGGGGTTGGTTAGGATTAGGGAAGGAGATAACCTTTTTACGTAAGATTACGTAGTATTTTTCGTAAGTGTAGCATTTTTGCTAAGGAATTGGGCGTCATACCGGTTTTTCTCTCTTACGGATGTCGATTATATTTGTTCACAAAGCAGGTGGAACATAGTTTGTAGTTGCACACAAACACACCTAGTTAGTTAATTGCTGGTTCTTTCTTGTAGAATTTGTCCATGACAAAACCACTTGAGATATTCGGTTTTAGAACTCAACAGTCAAATATTTCAAAACTATAGTACAAACTACTGCAGAATGCGTGTATCTAGAATAGGATATGATAGCTCTCTGTCTCTCCTTCTCATTAAACAGGTTCGATATCAGATTTTTGCCTAGCAGCGCTAAGATATGTTGTACTCCCTCCGTCCGAAAAAAGTGCTCGATACATTCATTTGAGAGACAAACTTGAGACAAGTTTTTTCGGACGGAGGGAGTAGTTCAAGGGGGAGCACTGGGTTTACATGCACATGTACGTGGATGCATCATCGTCTACCTAATGAGCCCTAAGAACTTCCTGATGGGGTGATCGAGCGGGCCCATGACGGCCTGCCACCCGACCATGGTGGGGTTCATCTCGTCCCAAAAGAAGAAATAGTTGGGGTTGTCGCACACCTTGTAGAGGGGTTCCAACTTCTCCGTGTCGACCTGCCCGCAGTAGCCCTTGGGGTCGGTGCTCTCGCAGCACGGCGCCAGCTTCTCCCTGAAGAGATTGGGAATGATGTCGCCGTCCCCGTCATCGTTGTAGTGCCGGACGACGTTGCTGAAGGCGGCGTTGAGGTCGAGCAGCAGCACGTCGTCCATGCCGGCCAGCTCGTCGGCGAGGTGGTGGTTGTGGAGCGTGGCGGCCAGGTTGCGCCGCTCATTGCAGCGCGTGTGGTTGTACGCCCTGGTCTCCGACGGCGAGCATCCGAAAGGGTGGAGGTTGTTGACGAGCACCTTCTCCACGCCGATGTCTTGCAGGCGCCGCACGTTAAACGCGATCTCCTCCACCACCTTCCTGGCGAAATCATCCACCTCGGCGAAGCTCTTGGTGTCGGCGGGAAGGCGGGCGTAGTCGTTGCCGGAGACGGCGACGAGCGCGACGGATTTGGACGCGAGGCGGTCCTGGTCGATGTCTCCGTCCTTGACGAGCTTGTGGAAGGTGTGGATCTGCCTGGCGAGCGTCTGGGTGTCCGGTGCGTCAAACACGCCGGAGCCGCCGGCGGCGAAGTTCAATCCAGCCTTGCCGACCTTGCGCGTGAGCCTGTGCGCCGGAGGGGACTTTTTCTGCCCTAGCATGTAGGCTGCAACGTGGTACAACAACGGAATGACAAGTCGGTCCATCAGTTATTACCAGGACTAAACAGAGATGGATCGATGGAAGATTTAGCAAGGAGAGAGACGCACGTACCGATGAGGTCGGACTGAACCAAGCTGTTGGAGAAGCGGCCGGATAAGCCATAGGGATAGCGCCACTGGCGATTGAGCTCGGATCTTGGGTTCATCTTGACGAGGTTGCCGTTGTCGGCAAAGGAGTCGCCGAAGACGTAGAAGCTGTACCCGTTGTAGTCGTCGGAGTGGTCGTGTTGGTGCCCGTCGTCGCCGCTGTGCCCGCTATGGCCGTGGTGGTTCCCCTTTCCGGGCGTGTGGCGCCCCTTCGCGAGCCCCTGCGGCCGGGACGGCTCCACGGGAGAAACTGCACGCACGCGCAGATCGATCGATTTTAGCAGCAGAAGGTAACATGAGCAGCTGCCAATTACAACGTCTAGAAACTATATCAAGTGTACCATTGAGATCGAGAAGTAGGAGGAGGACACAGGCGATCACCGGGAGATTCATCCTGCTCGGCCTAACTGGCCGGCCGGCGTGATGTGTACGTGGAGGAGGAGCGAGGGAGATGCGTGCGTGGAGAGGATCAGGTGAATTTTATAGCCAAAATCCTTGATCCACATGCGGTTGGTACGGGATATATGCGGGGCGATCACAACAAACTGATCGATCATTTTCGCAAGTTGTTCGCCGGACGCCGCCAACTATTCCCCGAAACCACCGGCGCCGATCTATCTCTGTCGCGCGCGCCCTCCTCTCAGCGCGACACCAAAATTTCAAATTTTGCGCTACGTCAAAAAAGTGTCGACCTCCCCGCACACACGTGCTCGCTCGGGGGCCGGCCCATTATAGCTCAGGTGCTGGTGTGGCAAGCGCTTCGTCTGTTTTTCTCTTCTGTCTTGGTGGTTTTTCCATCGTTTTTCTTTTCTTTTTCTTTTAAATATGAATATTTAGTTCTTTCTTAAAAGTGAGCATTTTTCTTGCATAAAATTGGTTGCAACGCCCTGAATATTTTTTAAGATACTAAATGTGAGCATTTTTTAAATTTATATTTTTTGAAAAACGTGAATATTTTTTTAGCCTTGCGAACATTTAAAAAAAATAAGAATTCTTTGAAAGTAAAAATAACAAAAATTATATTGAAAGACAAAAACGAAAAGAAAACGAATAAACAAAACTACATGAAAAAGATAAACTACAAACACAGATTGGAATCCTATAGTGCGAATTGGGTTGGGCCATCAATGTGCTTCCTTGTGTGCTTGGTTGATGTTTGGCATATAGAGCGTCGAATAGAATATTGTGAACCTGATAGCGGAAGAGAGTACATGGCTCACTCAGGTGTATACAATGCGATCCTTGGAGCTCGCATGACCCATGGCGTTGTGGCGTACCATAGCCTCGTACATCTTAGCCGAGCTTAAACCATGTAAAGTGGTTGAAAATATGATCTTTTCTTATGTATTTCACGTCATATTCCGACCGAAAAAATCATTCTACAGCATATGAAAGAGGCCTTTAAACATATGGAAAAATATGATTGTGCCACTAGCTAGCTCCAGAATGTGAAAATTGCCACTAACTTTGTCGAAATTGTGCACAAGTCACCAACTCAAGTTGAAATGTTGGATCAAAGCCACTGCACATGTTAGCGCTCGCTACTGGTACCAAGTCAACCCTAGCTATTGTTTCATTTGACCCACTTCCTTCCCTATTGGACCAACCACTTTGCCATGTCATCGGCAATGAAAAAGAGACTCCTTTGACCCAGTTCTTTTCTTTTGGGTCCCACTAATTTAGTCACTGGAGACCCACTCGTAATAGTTAACACATCCAGTTATTGCCCAAGCCTGAGTCATCCCCTTGTCCTCCTCTTCCAGCCATCGTGTCCAATCTCCTCTGGTCCTCCGCCTCGCAACGGGTAGATGTGAGCTACCCATCCAGATCTCTGCTAACTGGCTTCAAATGCTTATAATTAAGAGTTTATATTCTATGTTATAACTGCTATGATCCTGGAATATGCAATTCAGTGGAAAATTCATAAGCATGTGTGGAATGATAAAAGGTAAAACCTGATTCCTAGTCTCGTCTTTAGGACTAACGCAAGTGTTGTTTGTGATCATGTTTTCTGGATCTTGGGATATCATTAAGTGTAAGAATAGTCCTAAAACAACTTTGAGAATATGACGTTAGAAGAATGATCGTATTGAATTGACCCAACTTGTTTGCTATACTTTGAGATACGATTGTCACAAGTCAATCCTTATAACACAAAGAGTTGGCGTGTTTTAGTTCCTTAGACCATGAGAGTATCGTAGTCACTTCCTACCTCATGATGGACGTTAGGGTTGCTCAAACGTTCTATGTAAACTGGTGATCATAACGACAACTTACAGGTACATCAGAAAGTTTGACGAGGACTAGATAGCTCAAGAGTGGGATTTTCTAGTCCGACGCTGGAGAGATATTCTTAGGGCCCTCTCGGTGTGACGACGTCCTGTTGGGGAACGCGATAATTTAAAAAAAATCCTACAAACACGCAAGATCTATCACTAGGTGATGCATAGCAACGAGAGGGGAGAGTGTTGTCTACGTACCCTCGTAGACCGAAAGCGGAAGCGTTATGACAACGCGATTGATGTAGTCGTACGTCTTCATGATCCGACCGATCCTAGCACCGAAGGTACGGCACCTCCGCGATCTGCACGCGTTCAGCTCAGTGACGTCCCACGAACTCTAGGTCCAGCTGAGTGCTGCGTCTTGAGCTTGCGTTGGTTTTCCTTGAAGAGGAAGGGTGATGCAGCAAAGTAGCGTAAGTATTTCCCTCAGTTTTTGAGAACCAAGGTATCAATCTAGTAGGAGGCTCCTCAAAAGTCCCATGCACCTACACAAACAAACAAGAACCTCGCAACCAACGCAATAAAGGGGTTGTCAATCCCTTCATGACCACTTGCGAAACTGAGATCTGATAGAGATAATATGATAAGGTAAATATTTTTTGATATTTTTATGATATAGATTGGAAAAGTAAAGATGCAAATAAAAGTAGATGGTAAACTTATATGATAAAAGATAAACCCGGGGGTCATAGGTTTCACTAGTGGCTTCTCTCAAGATAGCATAAGTATTACGGTGGGTGAACAAATTACTGTCGAGCAATTGATAGAAAAGCGAATAATTATGAGATTATCTAGGAATGATCATGTATATAGGCATCACGTCCGTGACAAGTAGACCGACTCCTGCCTGCATCTACTACTATTACTCCACACATCGACCGACTCCTTCCTGCATCTAGAGTATTAAGTTCATAAAGAATAGAGTAATGCATTAAGAAAGATGACATGATGTAGAGGGATAAACTCATGCAATATGATATAAACCCCATCTTTTTATCCTCGATGGCAACAATACAATACATGCCTTGATGCCCCTGCTGTCACTGGGAAAGGACACCGCAAGATTGAACCCAAAGCTAAGCACTTCTCCCATTGCAAGAAAGATCAGTCTAGTAGGCCAAACCAAACTGATAATTCGAAGAGACTTGCAAAGATAACTTAATAATACATAAAAGAATTCAGCGGAGATTCAAATATTTCTCATAGATAAACTTGATCATAAACCCACAATTCATCGGATCTCGACAAACACACCGCAAAAAGAGTTACATCGAATAGATCTCCAAGAAGATCGAGGAGAACTTTGTATTGAGATTCAAATAGAGAGAAGAAGCCCTCTAGCTAATAACTATGGACCCGAAGGTCTATGGTAAACTACTCACAACTCATCGGAAGGGCCTTGGAGATGATGTAGAGGCCCTCCGTGATCGATTCCCCCTCAGGCGGAGTACCGGCGAAGGCTCCAAGATGGGATCTCACGAATACAGAAGGTTGCGGTGGTGGAAATAGTTTTTCGTGGTGCTCCTTGATGGTTTCAGGGTACGTGGGTATATATAGGAGGAAGAAGTAGGTCGGTGGACGCTCGAAGGGCCCACAAGGGTGGGGGTGCGCCCACCTCCAGGGGGCGTGCCGGGCACCCTCGTGGTCGCCTCCTCTGTTGCTTGACGCCCACTCCAAGTCTCCTAGATCACGTTTGTTCCAAAAAGATCGCTCCCGAAGGTTTCATTCCGTTTGGACTCCATTTGATATTCCTTTCCTTCGAAACACTGAAATAGGCACACAAAAAAGCAATTTGGGCTGGGCCTACGATTAGTAGGTTAGTCCCAAAAATGATATAAAAGTGTAAAGTAAAGCCCATAAACATCCAAAATAGGTAATATAATAGCATGGAACAATCAAAAATTATAGATACGTTGGAGACGTATCACTGAGGTTGAGGGAGAGTTTCGTCAGCACGACGGCGTGGTAACGGTGATGATGAAGTTACCAGCACAGGGCTTCGCCTAAGCACTACGACGATTTGACCGAGGTGTGTAACTGTGGAGGGGGGCACCGCACACGACTAAAACAATTGTCAACTTGTGTGTCTATGGGGTGCCCCCCTCCCACGTATATAAAGGAGTGGAGAAGGGGGAGGGCCAGCCCTCTCATGGCGCGCCTGAGTCCTACTCCCGGAGGGAGTAGGATTCCTCCTTCCCTAGTTGGAGTAGGAGAGGAAGGAAGGGGGAGAGAGAGGGAAGGGAAGGGGGTGCGGCCCCCCACCCAATTCGGATTGGGCTTGGGGGGCGCCCTCCACCTGGCCGCCTCCTCCTCTCTTCCACTAAGGCCCAATAAGGCCCATACACTCCCCGAGGGGTTCCGGTAACCCCCCAATACTTCGGTAAATGCCCGAACTCACCCGGAACCATTCCGATGTCCAAACATAGTCTTCCAATATATTGATCTTTATGTCTCGACCATTTCGAGACTCCTCGTCATATCCGTGATCATATCCGGGCTACGAACTACCGTCTGGATCTGGTTCGTCTGGATCCATTTGTCCCGGTTTTAGGCACGAACCGGGACCAATGGGCCGCGCTCCTGGCCCACAGCCATTGGTACCGGTTCATGCCTTGAACCGGTGTAGAAGGCTGGCTTTAGTCCCGGTTTGTGCCATGAACCGGGGCAAATAATTTGCCTATATATAGCCATCGCCGCGGCAGAGCACTCCACAGTGCTCTGTTTTTTCAAGCCGGCGAGGGGAGGGCATTTGGGTGCTCTAGTTCACCTCCTATGCACATGAGGTGTTCGATGAAATGCCCAAGCCACACTAGTTAAGCTTTCTCCTCTCGAAGCTCGACCTCGGAGCTCCATTTTTCTCGAGATTTGTCTAGATTAGCGGTCCTTCACGCCCCGTCCCCGTTTTCATCGTCGTTGATCGCCCGCGCCGATCTCGTCGCCGACACCACCGTGGTGAGCCTCTTGTTCTTATCTTCTTTCTGATACTTGTCTGATTTTCTTACTTTAGATAGATATTTGTCTGATTTTCTTACTTTTGACACACATAATTATATATAATGCATGTTGATGAACCGGCAATGGATGTATGGTGACAGACACACCTCCAAGTAC